AAGCAGAAGGACACTGAGCTCTACATCAGACTGGTGAAATACACACACACACACACACACACTCACACACACACACACACACACACACACACACACACACACACACACACACACACCACACACACACACCACACACACACACCACACACACACACACACACCACACACACACACTCACCACACACACACACACACCACACACACACACACACACACACACACCACACACACACACACACACACACACACACACACACACTCACACACACACACACACTCACACACTCTCACTCACTGGCTGACAGGGGCTCTCTCGCTCTGGAATATTCACAGTTGAGCAGAGGTGACTCTAGTGTCTCTGACAGCAGGTGTCGGGGTGAACGGGTCTATAATGACTGATTCTCTGGGATGGAGCTGTGGTGTTTTAATAAGAGGCTTAATGACAGCTAGTGTTAGAGTTTTAGGAATGTGTCCTAACAGTAGGGATGAAGTCAGGACGTTAAACTCCTGGAAACAGTTGTGTTGATAATGTGGTGGGTACAGGATCTAGTGTAGACGCTGCTGATTCAGAGGAGTTCAGCAGTCTGGACAGTTCCTCATCACCTGCCTAATGCGTCAAATTATATTCATTAATATGTAAGACATTGTTTTAAAACTAACAATAATAAATGCATTAAAACACTAATAGTAATATTCAGTGTGTGTGTGTGTGTGTGTGTGTGTGTGTGTGTGTGTGTGTGTGTGCGTGCGTGCGTGTGTGTGTGTTTCAGCAAGAGCAGAACATTAAGCCGCAGTACTTCACCTTCCGCTGGCTGACGCTGCTGCTCTCTCAGGAGTTTCTGCTTCCAGATGTGATCCGGATCTGGGATTCACTGTTTTCACATCAGGACCGCTTCGAGTTCCTCATCCCTGTGTGCTGCGCAATGCTGACGTAAGATTATGCTGACGTATGACCCACTCTTACTTCTGACGTGAGGTCACACACTGCTGCTGTTCAGGGAATGAGCATGTGGTTCTGCTTCTGCGCTTCACATCTGTGTGTTTCTGCAGACTGATCCGAGATCAGCTGCTGGCGGGAGACTTCACTACAAACATGAGACTACTGCAGGTAACACACACTAATATACACACACACACACACACACACACACTCTCTGTCCTGTATGCGCGGTGACGTGTGTTCTGTGCTGTCCTCCAGGATTACCCCATCTCTGACGTTCACTCCATCCTCATTAAAGCTAAAGAACTGCAGGACAGCTTGTAGCCCCGCCCCACAGGCCCCACCCTCTCACAGGCCCCGCCTCCAGGCTGATGATTGACAGCAGTGCCGCCCATCTCTCCGGGTGGGACCCAACGTTTGCCTTGTGTGTTTGAGTTTGGTCTCAGGTAGACGAGTGTGTGTGTGTGTGTGTGATTGAGTGTGTGTGTGCGTGAGTGTGTGTGTGTGTGTATGAAGCACTCCAGATCTCCTGAACGCTCCAGTATGAACAGATCTCAGATCAGAGGATGGTCAGATGATGGACTCCTGTATTTATATCAGTGATTGTTTACGTCTCTGTTGATGAGTGATTATTGATCAGCTGATCAGCTCCGTCACACACCAGCACACCTACTGTCCACAGCTGAAGAACACCACACACTCTCCACACTACACACACATTCAGTCAAATACACACACCTACACACTCATAGATAAACTCATCCTCTTATGCGCACATCCTCACACACACACACATTCAGTCACACAACACACACTCTCACACACATACACTCATGCAAACATTCACTCATATCACACATTCACACAAACACACACACACACATTCACTCAAAGGCATTCACACACACACACACTCTCTTACACACACACACACACTGGTTATTCCGCCGTCATGCCACAGTGTGCAGCAGATCTCCCTCTGCTGGGTCTCTGAGGCTGGGTCAGTGTGTTCACAGGTGTGTTGATCAGCTGTTTAGTGTGTGTGTGTGTGTGTGTGTGTGTGTGTGTGTGTGGACGGACGGACAGATGAAGCTCTTCCTGGTCTCTCTTCACTCTTAATGTTCTGCTCTGTTTTCTTCTTCTGCATGTTTTTGTATGCCGCGTCTGCAGTTCTCTGTTGTATATCCGTGTTTTTACAGCGCTGCAGACGCACAATAAACACACACAACTACACAACCTGCACCTCACTTGACTGTGTGTTCAGGGGGGAATTGTTCCAAGGTGGTGCAGTGGTCAGCACTGTGGTCTCACAGCAAGAAGGTCTCTGTTTCGAGCCTCGGCTGGGTCAGTTGGCGTTTCTGTGTGGAGTTTGCATGTTCTCCCCGTGTTGGCGTGGGTTTCACAGTCCAAACACATGCACTATAGGGCAACTGATCAACTAAACTGGCCGCAGTGTGTGTGTGATAAAGTGTGTATAGGTGTTTCCCAGTACTGGGTTGCAGCTGCAAGGACTTCCGCTGCGTAAAACGTATACTGGAATAGCTGGTAATTAATAAATGAATAGTAATTATTAAAGGGGTGAAGCCGAAAAGAAAATGAATGAATGAATGAATGAGTTGGCGGTTCATTCCACTGTGGTGACACTAAATTGTAATTTTCTGTCATTTCATCTACTGTACTGCTTTGTCCAATCAGCAGCTGCCGTATGAGCCCAAGCCCACCCTAAAAATCCCGCCCCACACACTACGAATTAAGAAAACATGTGACTTTAAGCATTTTAGTGTGCACTGCAGACACTAGTGCACTTCAGAGTGTACAGCGCACTGAAATGAGCTGTAATGTAAAATATCTCAATTTAAACACACACATTTGTGTTGAAGAGGGCTAAATTATAACTTGACCACAGGATGAAGAGTGAAACATGCAGTGTACAATACTCTACTTGCATATTTTACTACTTCATTTCATTTTCTTCATGTTGATCTCGCAGTTTTTGTCTTTTTTTTTGTTTAATCCTCTAATTATTATGGATATTAATTATTATAGACTAGATATTTTACCCTAATGTGTTTAAACTGAATGCAAATGAGAACTGTTGCCTTGGAGACTGTCCTGACTGGTTTATACAGGGTGTTTTTGAACTGGTTTTAGCTATAAAGTGGTTTAAACTCCTCCTGGGAAACAGTTCTGACCTGTTATTGGTGATCTGGATTTGTTTGTAGTAAACTCTAATGGCACACATTTGTTTCGAACCGTTCATCATAACACTGGAAACGGCACAATGTGTAGTATGTAGTGGGCAGTGTGTAGTATGTAGTTTACAGTATGTTTTCTGCATTATACATTAGGCAGTATACTTTAGTTTACAGGATGTATTGTAGAGTATGTACTGGGCATTATACATTAGGCAGTGTACTATGCAGTATGCAAGTAAGGTGAAAACACTGCAGTGCTTTAGTCGGTATACTGTAATTAATGGTGTGTATTGGACAGTGTGCAACGTTTAGCATACAAGTTGTATTGTGCAATATGCTGTGCGTTAGTATACAGTGTGCAGTATAAAGTGTCCACTATAGAGTATGCAGTGTGTTTACAATATATTATAAAGTCAACTGTAGTATATAGTATGTATTGTACAGTATACTGTATGCAGAGTGTGTAGTATACAGTATACATTCTCTACTTTACCATATGTAGTGTAGTGTACAATATACATTGTGTAGTATGCAGTGCATTAGGCAGTACACAGTATGCACTTGAGATAATGTAATGTGTTGTTTATATGTATTAGGCAGTATGGACTTCATTGGGTAGAGTATTTAGTGTGCAGTATACAATATGAGATGTGTTGTTCGTATATATTTGGCAATAAAGTGTAGTATAGAGTATGTGTAGCATACAGTATGTATTGTGCAGTATGGAGTTCACAGGGTAGTATGCAGTATAGAATATTAAGTGTGCAGTATACTGTATGAAATATGTTGTTATTACATATTAGACAGTGAACTGAAGTATACAGTATGTATTGTGCAGTATGCAGTGTATTAGTACACAGTATGCAGCATAAAGTGTCCACTATAAAATATATAGTATGCATTGAACAGTATACTGTATGCAGAGTGTGTAGTATACAGTATGTATTGTGCAGTATGGAGTTCACTAGGTAGTACACAGTATGCAGTAAACAGTATTTAGTGTGCACTGTACTGTATGAAATGTGTTATTAATATGTGTTAGGCAGTGAACTGTAGTATACAGTATGTACTGTGCAGAATGCACTGCATTAGGCAGTATGGGGTATGTAGTGTGCACTACGCAGTGCGCATACAGGGCAGATGTCAGTCGAGCATCTCCTTGTCTCCATGGAAACTCCTCCTGAGGCGCGTGCGCGTTCATTAGGCGTCCTGTGATCGTGACTCGCATCCAGCAGATGAAGTGTACACTATGCGCGTCTGTTCTCGCTAGTGTGTGTGCTGGATAGTGTCATCTTCAGCGAGCACACGCCCTCCGCTGCCGCGCGCCCCCCGCATCCCGTGCGCGTTCCCGCCGCAGACCCACAAACCCACATCAGAATAACAACACGGCATCCGTGCGGGGATAGAGCCGGATCTGGAGCGGGATCTGGTTCGGGGTCAGGATCGGGATTCGGTCGGAGCGGCGTTCTGGATTCGGGCCTGATCCGATTCTCCAGTGTGGATTTAAACGGACACCGATCAACGAGCCAGAGCTGCTGGTTCTGAGGAAACACCGAGAGCCGGTCGATGAGTGATGGAGGAGAAGAAGAACCATCAGAATCAGAACCAGAACCCCGCTGATGAATAATCTGCGCTGTGGAGCATTCAGGAGCCCACTGATCTCCAGCATCGCCTCCATTTTGGATCTGATTTAATATCGCGGCTTGATTCGCGCTGATGGATGTGTGTGTGTGATCCTGCCGGGTCTGCGGCGGTGTGTGTGTGTGTGTGTGAGTGTGTGTGAGTGTGTGTGTGTGGATGATGAACTGCAGATTTGATGATTATTCACATATTGATCTGATCGAGTTCATCAGCAGTCAAAGAAAGACGCGGACAGAGGAGCGGAGCCGGTTCTGATTCGGTTCAGAGATGGAAGATTCGGATCAGTGAATGAGCCCCTCGTGATGGAGGGGTGAAGAGTGTGTCCTCAACACTGATGAAGATGATGAGCTGATGAAGATGATGATGCTGGAGACACAGGTACATCAGTTCTGTCTCTTTACTGTGGTGAATCACTGACTCGTTCGGTTCTGATATATGATTCAATTGATTCGTGTTCAGAATAAAGACTGCTCTCCTGTAACACACACACACACACTCGCGCGCGCTCATATATGATCTAATGATGTGTGTTTGAGAGAGAGTGTGTGTTTAAGGGCCACACACTGAATCCGGGCCCCAGTCAATAAAGGGATCATGACTGTGAGCAAATGAACAGCTTTCACTGAATCCAGGCTGATCATTTGATTCATCAACACGAGTGAACGAAGCTTTGTTGATTTTGGTTAATTGACTCGTGATTCATTCATTGATTAATCTCACACTTTGATTGATCAGTTCCCTGAGTGTAGCAGCTTGTTCATTAAGTGCTTTAACAATTCATTATGATTCATTAATCTGGCTCTTAATGAATCTTTTTCTGTCCGGTGACTTGAGTTGATCATTCGTGTATTAATTGTGTTTAAGAGTTTTGCAGATAAAGACGCAGAGCACATGCTGCTGAAATTAATCTGAATGTTTCCATCACCTTCACTTGTTCAGTCGTTTACCTTTCATCTGATCATCTGTTGTGTAATAGTGGAAATCCAGACACTCAAACTGAATCAAACGAGTCACTTCAGCCCAAACTGTGGAATCACAAACACTTTACAGTCACATGCTGTGTGTGTGTGTGTGTGTGTGTGTGTGTGTGTGTGTCAGATTATGATGTGTTTTGAATCATGAATCTCTGCTGTGGGAGTCGATTCGCTCGTGTCGTTGTGTTTGTGTCTGTCGGAGTGAAATCTGACACAGGAAGTGTTTGGCTGCTGTCCATTACATGTGTGTGTGTGTGTGTTCACATTCACCCAAGATAAACCTTCTGTCCAAAGATTCACACAGTTTGAGTATCTGAATCATGATCCATTATCTGTCCAATCAGCTCTCTATGTATCAGATATTTACACTAGATATTGCATATGAGCCCTGAGCATGTGTCAATAGCGCCGCCATATTGGTCAGGGCTTCCAGGACATAATCAATTCAGCTGCACTCGCCAAGACTAAAGCCAGTGTGAAGATGCTGGACTGTAGCGCTGTGTACGAGTGTAGTCATGAGCACAGGCAGAACACTTCATAGGGAAGATTCTGTTTATGTTTGTGTGTTCTGAACTCCACAAGTGTGGTTACTGATGATGATCCAGTCTCTACTGCACTGACCATGAGGCAAAGCAGCAGCAGCAGCTCACACTCAACACTCTGATGCTGGTTTAGTGGAGTAAAATCAGCAACACTGAACATTAAATATGACAACAAGACGCTGTCAGGACACGGATTAGACCAAATCTAACAGGGAGGGAGAATAACACATCTCCATGCACACAAACACATGCTCTTTATCAGTGATGCCCGCCGGTCACTGATCCATCCATATAGAGAAGTGATGTACAATTATAATATTCATAATTAATAATACAACATTAGCACACTGACAGCAAGACACTCCTGTTCATGGATATATGTGTGTGTATATCTCTGGCTCTGTATGGCCAGTCCTCCACTGCACCTTGGTCCTGCATTCATTTTAAAGGAGCTCTACCCTGTACCAAAATGGCGGCTCTATTGACGCATTCCTTCCAATAGACAACAACAGCGCAGGCGACATCTAGTGTAAATATCTATGGCCATGCATGAGATGAAGCCCCGTTCACATTTATCCTTAATCCAGAGTCAGTGTACTGTACAATAGGCTCTTTACTGGGAGTTTGATTGACAGGTGATGTGACCAATCACAGAGTCCGCATGATGTGCTTCACATCTATGCAGCAGTGAAGCGTACAGTAGAGGAGAGCGGTCACTCA